TATGATCAGCTTGCCCAGCAACAGTTCTTAACCTGCCTTGCCTCTGTGACATCACAAGGACCTGTTCTTGATCTCTTTTGGCCCTGAAATCATTGAGAATGGGATGCTACTGACCTGGCTACTCTAGTTTTTTGTGTAAGTGGCATGAGCAGACCTCAGAAGGGTAGGATAGATCAATTAATAAATGCTCCTTCTTGCTGATTTATGGTTGAAAGCTGTGAGAAATTCTTCAGATGTTCCAGAAAAACAGTAGGAAAAGAAATAATTTTGGTGGAATACATTCTGTCACCATGCTGAACAAGAAAAATGTGTCTTGACTTTGGTTGATACCTTGCACTATCAGGAGAGGAAACACAAGGCATTTATATTTGTCCTTTAGTACTTTTCTGGAACACTTATGTAGTTGTAAAGGTGGCTCATGATAATTCAGGAAAATAAGCTATTACAAGTTCTCATGCTTCCTTTTGCTAACTTCTCCATACTGTACACAATACAACTTCAGCATCACTCCCAGTGGAGAGATCCACAAACATTCATTATGGGAAGAGGATGATGACCCTAAAGTTGACCTTAGGATGAAACAGAGAAGCACAGAAGCAAGATGCGCAAGACATTAACATGTAGAGTGGCCTCTTACGTATTGCAAAGAGGAAGAAGCAAATACATTGCCCTTTGTAGAGGACAAAGGCAAGTTTTCATAAAGCTGGTATATGCTGATCTTTATGTACAGATGAAAATTTGGAAATTATTCATACAATTTAAACAGATATGTGACAAATCCCACCCCAATGGGTAGATTGTGGCCAGATGGCCTGCATGCCTGCTGAGTTACTGTTGATGGACAACTTCAAGGTTCCTGTTGTTTCCTCTTAGGATTCATCTTTAAAGCAGATTTTTAATTTAAATTCAATCTCTGTTCAACTAGGCGACTTCAAATAAATCTACGTCCTCTTCAAGTGGAGAACACCTATGCTCTGAGAGCTCGACAGAGGATTGTCCTCCTCTATAATTAGGACCCATGGTCACCATATTTGCATTTCAAGTTCTTTCCACATCATGGTCATGTTCAAAATCACCCAAAGTGCCATTGAAGGCTAGAGAATATTTCAAATCCGGATTACAAATCTTAAAAATCCTACGTCATTCAAGCAATGTTTCTCATGCATTGACTCCTTTCCTGTCTGCTGAGTTTGCACACCTGCGTTATCGGTTCCTCCTCTTGGTGGGTTCAGCGAATTGGACACCGTGCATGAGAGCAGAGAGACAGAAGTGTGAACCTTCCGCCTTGGTTCTCTCTCTGCTAGATGGCTGGAAATGTCTTCATTATATTCAGGGGAACGGATGGACAAGAAGACTGAACAAAATTATTTTTCAATAAGCTGAACACTCTTCATCATGGAGTCTTCAGCTGCCTCTGGGGATCTCAAGTTAGCTGAAAAAGATAGGGAACTGAAAATTTCTGAGGTATCAGAAGATGAAATCCCAGGTCCCCGGCATCCATCTCACTGTGTTGGTTTTGGCACTTTTATTTGAATGTAATGCCTCAGTTATCTTACTTACTAAATATTGACAGGCTGATTCATTTTGTTTCAAAGAATATTCTCCTTTAACTACAGAAGTCACGTTGCCATCTTCCCCTCCTTTGCTTGTTGTAAGGTAATAATGTATTCCCTTTTTACTGAGGTTGTGGAAGGGGAGTAGAATGAACACAGCAGCTGTACTTTGAAGATATATGATCTTTTTTTCCTGATCGTGGAACTTCTTTTTTGAAGGAAAAACTATGATTTGTGAAAGGATACAGCTAATGTCAGAATAACTCTTCTCCTGAAGGAAGGTATGAAACCCACTACTGCTCTTTCTACCCCCCCACCCCCGTGTGCACTTTTCTGGCAGACGCCCTTGAGCATTTGAGAGACGGATGTGAGAGAATTTTCAGTCCTATTGGAAAACAACCCAACTAAACATAACAGATTACATCAGCTCAGGCTTTTCAATTCCTGGATGGCAGCAGCGTGCTAATCCAACCTTCATCCTGGATTTCGCAAAGTAAAACAAGGGAGGCTGGCAAGAGGACAGATTGAGGAAACTGACGACCACAGGCCTTGCCGTCAGGAGGCTGTATAAAGCTCAAAAACCTGTAAGCTGATCTCCAGCCACTACTGTTGGTTCTTCACTGCTGCATCCCACGGCTGAAGCCCTCAAGACTTAAATATTTCAACCTGCTCATTGTGCCCTCATTCCTGAGAGATATGAGCACTTTCCAGGTTTTTGCTTTATTTCTGGTTCTACTGCCGCTGCATGGCGGAGCTACCTGGAGTGCGAAATATGCCGTAGACTGCCCTGAGTCCTGCAACAGCAATGAATGCAAAAACCCTCTGCATTGTAAGCGGACGGTGATGGATGATTGCGGGTGCTGCCGAGTCTGCGCTGCAGCCTTGGGCGAGACTTGCTACCGGACAGTCTCAGGGATGGATGGTGTCAAGTGCGGCCCCGGGCTGAAGTGCCAGTTTTTTTCTGAAGAGGATGATTTTGGTGATGAGTTTGGAATCTGCAAAGGTAAAAAAATGGTCCTTGGATTAAATGCCTGTCATGCCAATGATGATGATGTACTGTATTAGTGTTTGGGAATTGCTCCTCAAAATACCCAGTTAAATATATATATTTTAAAAAGGAGATTTGTCAGCATAAGAATTACTCTGGCATGGTGGAAAACTTCTGTGAAATGTGAAAAAAATGCATGGGGTTATTTAAATCTTTAATATGCACAAGGCTTGGTTTTACACAATTCTGTAAAATAGGTCATGTTTTTGTATTAAGCAAATGGGAAGATGAGGTGGGCAGGGGCTCAACTAATGTTGTTTGCCAGCCTATGGCTGAGGATACCAGTTTAACTCTACTGGTGGTATATCTACTGGGAATTACGTACCTCAACTTTATCCAGACAGCTTCTCAAAAAACAACACTCAGCTGTTGACTGGAAGGTGCATGAAAGAATAACTTCAAAAGGGTAGACATAGGCTTAGATTTCTGACCAGGACCAGAATAGAGGATGTTAGAGTAAGTAGCTAAGTGAAGAGAAAGCAGTCTAAATTTTGGAACAATTGTAATGAAGAGCAATGTAGAAAGCATTAAAGCCTGGGAAAGTTACATTTTGGCTCCCAGAATCTCTCAACACTTGGGAATTTTGGAAGCTTCTAATAGCATTCGAAATATTTTAATAACATTTCCAAATTCTGGGAAGAACCTCATGTCCTCTAGTGCAGAAAAGGTCTTCTTAGACAAAGTAAGCTTTCCCAGTGATGTAGCTTCAACTGTTCCTCTTCCATCATCTTCAGGACAGTTATTATGTAACTTCTAATTCAGATTCCCTGCAGGTGATCCCTTGCTCATTCTAACATTGCAAGAAACGATCCAAATGTTGCAAAGAAGATGGTAGACCAAGATAGTAAAATTCTAAAGTGTACCACTTCAGCCTGCAGATGGAGATGTAACTTTTAAAAGTGTGGTTCCGTATTTAAAAAAAAGCAGTCCCTGTACATAGTAAACAATGGATGCCTCAAGTAGGAAGTAGACCAAGATGGTAGAATTCTAAAGTATACCACTTCAGCCTGCGGATGGAGATGTAACTTTTAAAAGCCTGGTTCCGTATTTTAAAAAAACAGTCCCTGTACATAGTAAACAATGGATGCCTCAAGTAGGAAGTTATATTAAACAATTTTCTCTGCTTAATAACATTGCTAATTACAGACATGATATGTACCAAAATTACTACTGTAACACCATTCTTCATCTGTAGTATAAAGTGATATCATTCCATCAGCCAATCAATAGTCTGTGTGACATGTATATACCATTTTAAGTCTGACAAGCCCAATGGTGTACCAAAATTACTACTGTAACACAATTCTTCGTATGTAGTATGAAGTGATACCATTCCGTCAGCCAATCAATAGTCTTACTATGTGTGACATATATACAGTATACCATTTTAAGTCTGACAAGCCCAATGATGTACACATTCTTAGGGTTCTAAGCCAAAGACAAACATTATCATTATAGGATACTGAAAGTCCAAATGATTTAGAGCTCAGGTGATCAAAGCTGCATATAAGCTAACACAGGCAGATGTCTCAACCTCTACTAATCATTTGTTAGCCTTTGTTGATACAAGTTGTTGGTCCACGAAAGGCATCCCACTGAGGCTGCAATCCTATCAACCTCTACTAATCATTTGTTGATACAAGTTGTTGGTTCACAAAAGGCATCCCACTGAGGCTGCAATCCTATGTGGACTTATTTGGGGGAAAAGGTCTAGAACAGCCTTCCCCTTCTTGGCGCTCTCCAGATGTCTTCAGGACCACAGCAACCAAAGTTGGATGTTTACTTTCTAGTTCATGGGCATAGGATTACAGACTTAGTCTTTGATCTAACAGTTTACATGAGCAACATAAAACATGATGTTATGTACTGTCAAGTTGATTCTAACTTGTGGCAGCCCTGATAGCATTTTCAAGGTATATGAAGTGTTCAAGGGAGTGGTTTACCATTGCCTCACCCCCAGGGAGATTCTAGGGCCAAGCGGGTGTTTGAATCCATATATCCTGAAATCTAATCTTGCACTTTATCCACTGTGCCACACTGGCCTTCATAGAATAACAGAATCCCGATTATTAGCAGGAGATATGGTGGAAAGGATTTGTAAAGAGCCTGTTTGCAAAACTATGTATGAGCAGCCCTTGGGTGATTCTATACTTCCACCTGGGGGGCACGTAGAGAAGCCTGCCTCTTCAGGTATAGGGGCTAGAACATTGGTTAGATCTTATCACTTGAAGGGTTTCACAGGCATGGCTTAAACTGCTCTCTTGCACATTACGTTATTCTGTGGTCCTTGCTGACGAATAGCAAGTGGAAAAAAAATGTTTCTTTCATTCAAACAAGCCATTGTATTAGTGCAATATGGGTTTTGCATTTGCATCAAAGATCAAATATACTTTTATATTATTTTTTATCTATATATTAGTGCATGCTGTTTCAGTGACATTGATGGGACAATGGTAAACAAATGTCACTATTTTAACTTCAGCAACCCAAATAAGCAAAATCTGATATCTTGCATTTGGGCTACATTTTAATCCACCATCTGTTTGAAATGAACTTGCCTAGCAGCAGATTCTCCCTTCATGGGGTAGCCGCTAGAAGACTGAATGGCGGCTGAGCATCAGAGGCTAATCTTGGGATACTTAGTACTGTACATCTCATTCTCATCTACCTCACACAACTGTTGTGCAAATAAAACTGGAGAACAGATGAGCAGAGCCATGTGCCTTGCTGAACTGAGATAAAAACCTAATCAAGAAATAGTTCCTTTTTAGAGATACCATGCAAACAATGAGGAAATTTGCATTTTAGTAGCAGCCATACTTTGTGGTAAGAAGGAAATTCTGTCTTAAATATTTCTTTTTTCTCTTTCCGATTTCAGTGATGTCCCACTACTCCTTACCGGGGGACAGGCAACCTACAAATGATATTAAATA